AAGAGAAGGTTTACTGGCGAAACTTGGAAACCCGGGTAATTACCCCAAGGATTCTAGGGGGTTGGGGTAAGTAACCCCAATAACCCCCCTTATTTACGCCACTGGATATAACTTCAGGGTTCATAAAGAAAGTTTAGAAAATAAAAATTTGAGGCGAGCACCCAGTTACAATTAAGGGTTATTATTTCTTAGAAAATTATTGAAAAAAATATAAAATGAAACCTATTAACTGTGGAATAATGTAGAAAACTGCTAGACTTCTTGATTTTGAATAGACCAATCAACTGAATTGTGCAGTGTAATCAGGCGCGCAACTAGACATTCAGCAAGGGTAGGGCAAAGGCCAATTATTTCGCACTTAGCGCGATAAAACTTGTTAGCCTCCCCCTTAAACATTTCTAGGGGCGGCAAGTAAAATGTTTATTATACTCAACCACGAAAAAATTACCTTACCCAGGATATTTTGGGGGGAACTTTTATATTTCGGGGCATTCATTCAGTTCATTCAGTTGGGGCAAATTTGTGTAGGAAAAATCTTTAACTATATTTCAGGGGAAACTTTTAGTTTTGGGGGCAATTTTTTAGTTGGGGGAAATCTTAAATCTTTGTTTTTGGGGGTCTTTTTTAGTTTAGTCAATTTTGTGAATGGGAAATATTAAATCTTTATTTTCGGGTAAAATCTTTTTTTATTTAAGGGCATTTTTAAATTACTAGGCTTTTAGGGCGCTTCGCGCCATGCATCTTCTATTTAAATTGTGAACATATTCTTTTTGTTTACATTTTAAAACAAAGAAGAAAAAATTTTTGCGGATTTAAAAAAAATTCCGGATTTTCAAGATTTTAAACTTTTTTACAAATTAAAAACCTTTAAAACACATTTTTAAAATTTTTTTATCATTCATAAACCTTCCCTGTGGTCACGTGATCGGTTCAGCCGTTTTGACGTTTATTGGATACAAACAAACAGACAGACAGACAGACAAACAGACAAGCCAAATTTATATATAGATTTGGGGATAAAATTTTTTTAATTATTTGGTGGTATTCTGATAAACCAAAGGTTACAAATGTTGAATAAAGGGGCAAATTTAAGTCTGATGGGGCAATTTGAATAAGAATATGTGAGTGTAATTTTAAAAATCCAAATGGGGGGCATTTTTTAAAGAAAGGGGGAAAATAAATAGAATCTGAACTTATATTTAAAAGTTTTACAGTTGAATTTAAGTTTGCTTAAAGACTGTAGGTTTAATAAAAATTACTGTGTGACCGGGCAGATTTATTTGAAATTTTCGAGAAAATTTTGGAACTAAATGGACCTCAAGCTTTCTTAAGGGGGCGGGGGCTTGCCCCCCTCTTAATCAGGCTTAGGGGGGCCTTGCCCCCATTCCCCTTAGTTGCGCGCCTGTAAGTGTTCACAACACAGACCAATTAAAATAAATAAGTAAAGCTACGATGGTTAAACTATTTCATTTATAAAAATATCAAATTCACAATTGTATGGGTCTCACTGTAAGTTTTTTTTAATTATTTTAAAAAGTTTCCCCTTTCCCCTTTTATTTTTTTCAAATTTATCAAGATAAAATTTTAAGTAAATTACAGATTTAAGACAGTTTTCCAAGCTTAAATTAATTTAATTTTTGGGAAAATTTCGAGATAAAACATATTCCAGTTTCCCCACTAAATAATTTAAACAATAAAAATCTAAATGGTCCTTCATATTAATCAGATATTTAAAAAAGTTAGAATTTCTTTTATTTTGTGATATATCATATTTTATAATAGACTAGATGTTAACTGCAAACTACTTTCTTAGATTTGTACAATTAATATTTTTACATAGATACATGGTTGAAAACATTAATAGGATGGTTGAAAACAATGTTAAGTACCGATGAGTTAAAGGAATGGGCATAACTCAGAGGCTTGAATTCATAAATTTGTGTTTAGCCACAAACTATAATCTTTTATTCTCTATATCTTTGCAACCTAACGTTGTAGATCTTTTATATTTCAAACTATGAATTCTGTTAGATAAAATAACCAAATAAAATTTGAATTTGTGGCAAAAACTCAGTTCCTTTTTTAAGATTTGCATCAACCATTATTCAATTCAGACCCTGCAAAATTTTGGTTAAAGCCTAACATGTTGATAGTATTCTGATTTCTAGGATGAGATGAATGAGACTGAGGAAAGAGCGAATGAAAAGGATAGACAGAGCTTACTTTTGCTTAACAGGGCTAAACAGTAAGCATGGCAGTCCAGTCCAAAGTAATATCGAAACTCGTCAACTCTGAGAAGCATTAATCCAGTCTTCTTAGGTAGCATTTATGTAGCAACTAGGTAATGATATAGTCAATTTTGTCTGCTAATTAAGGCTATAGTCTGCTAATAGTCTGGTAGGTAAGGCTGAAGTTAACATGACTGCTTGATAATGTTGTAGTTGAGTCTCCGGTGGATCTGAGTTACGCGGAAGTCCAATATCCACCATTGAGGCGACTGCTGCCGGAGCTTTGTCGTCGATTCGTCCGAACTGAGTCATACCGCTCCATTCGACTAAACCTTAGAACAAGAAGAATTAAGATAGTAAACTTCATGATAAGACAGGAAGTGAATATACTTCTACCTGTAGAAGAGACAGGAAGTGAATATACTTCTACCTGGAGAAGAGACAGAAAGTGAATATACTTCTACCTGGACAAGAGACAGGAAGTGAATATAATTCTACCTTGAGAAGCGACAGGAAGTGAATATACTTCTACCTGGAGAAGAGACAGGAAGTGAATATAACCCCGAATATCTGAAGAAGAGCTAGAGCTAGACTGACAACACCCAGCAGCTGTAAATGATCACTAAGCTGCTCAGAGAACCTTAGTATTAATGATCTCTAACCCCACAGCCTGGACTCTCAGTTTTACAACATGAATCTGGAACCAGGAGCTCCGGGTTTAAGCTTTTATTCCTCCATGGACTTTCTCTAAAATACAATAATAAAAACCCTACTTTTATAATAAAACAAATCTTGCAGATTTTTGGGGTATCATTCAATACTAACAGAAGTACCCGGCGTTGCCCGTTCCCATCAGCCTTTGTTTTGAAAGTTGTAGTCCACAAATTCGTGAAATACGCGCATGCAGTATGGTGACAGTACAAGAAAAATAGGGGTTTTTACAATTTTCTGGAGTTATGCACTCTGGTTAAAAGTGACCTAACTCTTATTCCTTGTATGGCGTGTGCTGATATTGCGTAAAATTGCGTACTGCAAACAAGTTTATACCAACCCTTTGTTGTTCACCTTGACAGTTTTCACAAAATACAGATTTGTTTTTATTCAAATCTATTTCTTTGCTTAATTCAATTTCCTCGATCTAATCCCATGAAGTCTTGTATAATACTAAAAAAGAAACTCTACAAGTATAATTGTATACAGAGATTACCAATAAACATTGCAATTAAGTGATGATTAAAGTCGTCTTTGATTTTCGTGGCATCCATGCATGATAAAACTGAACAAAAGTATTAACAATGGTTTCTATTTTTTCTCAATATTTGACGAATATTTGATAAGTTACTATATATATTCCAATATATTCCCCATTAATTGCGAGATTTTAAGAAGTTTAACAACATATTGTCTTTGATTGATGCAAACATTGTAAACAATTAATAAACGAAAATCAAAAAAAATATTTAATTAAAATCATAATTTGGAGCTGGGAACAGCTCAGAAAAGTAACTGATATAGATCGGGCTAAACTCTACTGACCTTCAATCTAGGAATGAGTTCAACCTCTACTGAACTCCAATCCAAGAAATGAGTTCGACCTCTACTGAATGAGGGGGGGAAGGCGACCCGCACCCGTTTTACCTCCGACCCGTAGATGACGTCACAAAATGGGATTTGCGGGAATGCCCCTATGCCCCTGACGTCTTTATTAATAAATCGGGTGAGGGTCGGACGGCATGGGGGTAGCGCATGGCGCAAATACCGCTTTGTGATGTCATCTGCGGGTCGGAGATAAAACGGGTGCGGGTCGCCTTCCCCCCCCCTTTCACTGACCTCCAATCCAGGAATGAATTTGACCCGCAGCATGAGAACTCTCGTTGTATTCTGTCTACTGAGTATGTCACCTCTTTCTTCACTCCGTATTCCTTAAATAATTTTGTTGTCATTTCAGGTGGACTTACGCTTTAAGAGTGATATGCAGGCTCGATTCACAACGCTACACTTTAAACCTGTATCTGATTAATACTATAGAAGATATCGTCGCTTTTCTAGCTTAAAAAGGGTTTATTTTTGAAAATTTCCTTTTGAAACATATCTGATCTAAAGTGTGTATGCGTTCTAGATCAGACAAAGCTTTAAAGGGTACCGTTGTGAATCGGACATACAGCTTTAAGAAAATGAATTTTAAATGACACCTACAGTCCCTATAAAATAATATTTCATGTGTTCTAGATTAATATCAAGGTTGGAAAAGGACTCATAAACGTTTAAACATTGATAAATATTAATCATATTTATTATAAATTAACTTTTTATTGTGTTTACGACTCTTTATTTCAGTGTTGACTGTTGACTGTTGAGTGTTGACATGTGAATTCTTTGTATTGTAATGAGATAATATGATACCATGACATAATATGAGAGATAATAAGCAGATAAACTGAAAATATGATCATGAACATGTGCATTGTGTAAACTGACAATTTTTGAAATTGACAATTTAATATAAATATTAAACTCTAAAATTCCCTTCAATAATGTTATTGTTTGAAAAACATTAATAAAGCACTGGAAAAACAAGTTTGCAACTTTTAAAACTTTTTCTTTCCAAGCATTTACACCCGTAAACATTCACGTGATTTTCATTAAATACATGTCAAAACATGTTCAGGGCAGACAAAACATATTTTATAAAATTCAGGAGTAAGATAACAGAAGGGATATAGAGACTCAAGTACAGGGTGTCCCATAAAACTTGACATTCAAAGATGACCAAATGCAATATATAAAATGCAAGTAGTTTTCTATTAGAGCATATCCTTTTTCCTTATTTAAACTGATCGAACATTTGTTCTTATTGAATAACCTGTATAAATGTATTCTAACCTGTATAAATGTATTCTAACCTGTATAAATGTATTCTAACCTGAATAAATGTANACTCAAGTACAGGGTGTCCCATAAAACTTGACATTCAAAGATGACCAAATGCAATATATAAAATGCAAGTAGTTTTCTATTAGAGCATATCCTTTTTCCTTATTTAAACTGATCGAACATTTTTTCTTATTGAATAACCTGCATAAATGTATTCTAATCTGTATAAATGTATTCTAACCTGAATAAATGTATTCTAATCTGCATAAATGTATTTTAACCTGAATAAATGTATTCTAATCTGCATAAATGTATTCTAACCTGCATAAATGTATTCATGCCTGTATAAACGTATTCTAATCTGTATAAATGTATTCTAACCTGCTTATATGTATTCTAACCTAAATAAATGTATACTAAACTGCATAAATGTATTCTAACCTGCATAAGTGTATTCTAACCTGCACAAATGTATTCTAACCTGCTTATATGTATTCTAACCTAAATAAATGTATACTAAGCTGCAGAAATGTATTCTAACCTGCAAAAATGTATTCTAACCAAAATAAATGTATTCTAACCTGTTTAAATGGATTCTAACCTAAATAAATGTATTCTAACATGTGTAAATGTATTTTAACCTGAATATCAATGTGAAATGTATTCTAACCTGTATAATTGTATTCTTACCTTTATATAAATGTATTCTAAACTAAATAAATGTATTCTAACCTGCATAAATGTATTCTAACCTGTAAAAATGTATTCTAACCTGAAAAAAACTAATTCTAACCTGCATAAATGTATTCTAGCCTACATAAATATATTCTAACCTGCACAAATGTATTCTAACCTGTATAAATGTATTCTAACCTGCATAAATGTATGCTAATCTGCATAAATATATTCTAACCAAAATAAATGTATTTTAACCTGTTTAAATGTATTCTAACCTAAATAAATGTATTCTAACATATGTAAATGTATTTTAACCTGAATATAAATGTGAAATGTATTCTAACCTGTATAATTGTACTCTTACAGTTATATAAAAGTATTCTAACCTGCATGAAATGTATTATTACCTGAATAAATGTATTGAAGAGATGGGCTGATAAATCAGATTTGATTTGCTCTTGGTAAACATAAGCCAGCAAACCGGTTATAGACTCAAACATAAACACCAGTACAAGCAGGATAGTATACTAAAATATATAGATATATGTGCTTGTACATTACAGTGGTTTAGTCCCGAGACTAATCGTGGTTTAAGTTGTTATTCAAATCACAACATTTAGCCTAACAATATGTAAAATTAATGTGTTTTTTTTTGTAAACCAAATTAAAGCTGTTCATGGCCTTTCTTCTTTTGCGGTGGGTAAATGTATGTAAAAGTCAGAATTTTTATTTACAAATCTTGTATATATTTAAACTATGCATTTCTTTAATAGAAAACTTCAAGGTTCGCCGACCCGGGAGATCCAAATTTTTCCTTTTTGGGAGAATTTTGGTTTATACCGCCAACTCTCAAAACATGTCAATACAGTACACAAACAATGTAAACACAAAAATATTTAAACACAAACACATAAACAATTGTAAACACAAACATGAAACACGAATACATAAACAATTGTAAACACAACCATGTTTGAACACAAATACATAAACAATTGTAAACACAAACATATTTAAACACGAATAAATAAACAATTGTAAACACAACCATGTTTAAACACGAACACATAAACAATTGTAAACACAACCATATTTAAACACGAATACATAAACAATTGTAAACACAACCATGTTGAAACACAAATATACTAACAGTGTAAACACAACCATGTTTAAACACGAAAACACAAACAATCTAAACCACAACCATGTTTAAACACGAAAACACAAACAATTGTAAACACAAACATGAAACACAAAAAACACAAACAATTGTAAACACAACCATGCTTAAACACGAAAACATAAACAATTGTAAACACAAACATGAAACACAAACACACAAAAATTGTAAACACAACCATGTTCAAACACGAAAACACAAACAATTTTAAACACAAACATGGAACACAAAAACACAAAAAATTGTAAACACAACCATGTTTGAACACAAATAAATAAACAATTGTAAACACAAACATGAAACACGAATAAGTTTTTGCAAGATCAGGTACAGGGTTACCCACAAAAGTATAGATTTTAATAACGACCTAAAACAGAACTAAAAATATAGATAGAATGCAATAACTGGATTGATTGCTACAAAAGAATTGAGTCTTTACTGCAAACTCTAGTTTTCTAATCCCTCACCTTTGCAACCAATGATTTCGTAGACCTTAGATATATCATACTATTAATTCTGTTAGATCAAACAATTTTCAATGCAATCTGAAGTCGTAATAACTTAAAAAAGCTAAAAATTAAAATTGGTATATCAAATTGAAAAATCAAAGGTTTACACCATCAGGTTGCAAAGATGCAGGGATTAGAAAATTTGTGCTTGTACAAGGGAGGTTGCAGGATTAAATGTAGGGGGAGGGGGGTAAAATATATATTCGCACGAAGCGCAAAAATTTGTTTAACCCACCCCCATAATCTTATAAAACAAATTACAAATTATAACTTGAAATTGCAATAAATATTTTCATCTTTTGAGTTTAATGGCCGCAAAAACTTTTTATCCTACGCTTTAATTGAACTTAATAAACAGAGATAGAAATTTCTGAATAGTATAAAAATGAATTTACCGTGGCGAGCAGACACTTGTTTTCTAGTCCTATAGCTGTATATCCTATTAAAGCTGTTACCACTGCAACAGCTCCTGTACATACCAACAACCAGGAGGTCACCTACAGTACATAATAATCAAACATTACAACCAGGAGGTCACCTACAGTACATAATATTCATACATTACAACCAGGAGGACACTTACAGTATATAATATTCATATATTACAACCAGGTGGTCACCTACAGTACATAATATTGATATATTACAACCAGGAGTTCACCTACAGTACATAATATTCAAACATTACAACCAATAGGTCACTTACAGTAAATAATATTCATATATTACAACCAGGAGGTCACCTACAGTAAATAATATTCATATGTTACAACCAGGAGGTCACCTACAGTACATACTATTCAAACAGTACAACCAGGAGGTCACCTACAGTACATAATATTCAAACATTACAACCAATAGGTCACCTACAGTACATAATATTTATATATTACAACTAGGAGGTCACCTACAGTACATAATAATCATATATTACAACCAGGAGGTCACCTACAGTACATAATATTCATATATTACAACCAGGAGGTCACCCAGAGTACATAATATAAAATAAGATAAGATAAAGTTTATTGCTAAAATAAATGTATCTGTATACAGATAGAGTTTACAATCACAAAATTGATGATTATATTAACAGTACAAGTATAAAGCAATTAGGTGGAAAATAGCTCTTGGCTGTTTTGATTATTTTTTCCACCTAATGTTAGTAACAATAACAAAATATTTCAATTAAATAGATTTAAGGAGAACGATTAGAGATCAGGGTGCGAATTTATCATATGCAAAATAGTTTATACATAAATTCGAATAACTAGAGTTTAAAGTAATTTTCAGACATGTACACAACAAATATCAAAGCATATTAAAACATATCTAATTAGTTT